CCTCCGGGTTCCCACACCTGCTAGTCTTCTTCTCTCTACTCCAATTCGCCTTTTCCTGTCATGTCCTATCATCTTCCTTTCTGTCTTCCTGTCTGTCATCAGGAAGAAAAGCTCCCTGCCCTCAGCTGCAGTGAGGCAGACATGGCTGCATAAGCAAAGATGAGGAACGGGTCCACCTTGAAAACCCTCCCTGTCCTTTCTCAGCTTAAAAATGGAGAAACTTTGGGATAGTTGGACAAGAGGAGGTGAAAGCCAGGGAGAGCATGAAGAAAATCCTTACCAGCTTCACCTTAATGAACTCCAGCAGTCTCACATAAACCAACAGCTGCCACTTACTGAGCACATCTGGTGTAACCTTCATGTCATCACTAGTTCATGCTCCACTGAAATAGCCTAAAAGAGCATGCCGTCACTGTTCCCATGAGGCTAGGACAATCAAGGCATCTTTTCAGGGCCACATCAGAACATCTGGAGAAGACTAAGATCCAAGCCCCAGCCTCACTCATGCTCTTCACCATTCATCCAGTAAAGTCCATCCAGCCACCATGGGACACTGGGTCCAGCCAGCAAAGAGGAGGGATTTTCTGAGTTCACACTATCCCATCCCAGGTGTCCCAGGACACTGCAGACCCAAACACACCCCTGTCGCTGAGCCGCCCACCCTCTGACCCAGAAACCAGCAGGTCCAGGAGCACCTTCATCTCTCTCCCAACTCCCAACTCATCTGTCTCCCATTCTGATGCTGTGTCCTCCCTTGGAGGATCATGGGAGCCAGTCTGGACACTCAGAACCTTTGCTCCTGCCATCTTCACTGAGAAACAAATTTCCCCAGAAACAAATGCCTCCTTCTCATCCAAGAGAACAGAGGGCACATCAGGATCCAGGACGGACACCCTCCCAGGCCCTGGCCAGAAAGCAGCATCTGCTGGACCCTTACCTGCCAGACTGTACTCACTCAAGCCCTCCCCATCCAACAACACACAGGCTTTCCTATGTCTGCCTCTGCCCTTTGCCCCCCCATGCGGGTTTCAGAGTCCAGATGTATAGAACACTTTTGAATCTGCGTCAGTGCTGGGCCTGCTAGCCTGATATGCTTCTAGGGTAGGGTAGAGGCCATGAGTGAGCATGTACTCTGATGCCCTAGCCATCAGTGCCTGCCAAGCCCACAGGCAGGAAAAGCTAAAAGCAACCCAGCTCCACATCACTGATTTCACATTACACCGTCATGCTCGTGTTGGAAGATCTCAGAGCAAATCTGATCCTGTAATAGCTACCTTCTCACACTCCTGAATGCCACCTCTGGGCCCACACTCAACCCTGTCTACACCTACAATGAACCTTTCATGTCCTTTTGGCATGACATCTGTAATAACTTCTTGCTCATCGCAGTGTACACTGTGGGCCTTCTCTACCTGATACCCTGATGTCTTACATCTACGTGGCTTTAGAATATCCAGTATAATCTCTGTTCTCACTGGTGATGCCAATCTCAACTGTCCCTGCTACTAAGCTTAGTCCCCACGTCCAGTGCAGGAGATGAAAGGAGAAAGGCAGATTTCAACCCCAGTTTCTCCTTCTTTTCTTATCTTGATGACTTAAGTGTGGTGGATGATGAATGTGCCTCGACATTACAAAGCTGCGAAACTCCATGGGCACACAAATTAAACTGTATCACAAAGCACCACACTCAAAATTTGGTAAATGTGCCTGTTATCAGAGAAGAGTTTTGTGGGGAGAGTAGTGTCACTGGAATTACCTTATAGAAAGTTCTTGTATAGATTAATACCTTGGTTGTCCATCCTCTCCCTCTGTTGTCTTGTAGCCGTTTCAGATTTTGAGATTAAAAATACTTTTTTTTCTTTTTGCATTTCTGAATGTGTGTGTTCAAATGACACAGTGAGTGTGTGGAAGTCAAAGGAAATCTTGTGGAAGTCAGTTCTTTCCTCCCACTATGTGGGTTCTGAGGGCTGAACTTGGGCTGTCAGGCTTGGTGCAAGCACCTTTACCCAGTGTGCCATTTCATTGGGGTTTTATGAAGATGCTAAGCTATTTAGATCGTCATATTTATTGCCACACTGTTCTCATGAAGCCAGCCTAGTTGTCCATCCACAAGGAGAGCGTGGCACAGACACGATGGAATCTTACTCAGTTGTAAAGAAAATGAAGCTGTGCCATGGGTAGGAAAATGGAAAGAACTAGAAACTCATGTTTAGCAAAGCAGCCCAGACTCCCAATGACAAGAACTGTGTCTCTCATAGGAAGACCCAGATTTTAACTTACATGTGTGCATATTGGGGGATGTAGGTAATGAAATTAGGAAGAGGAGAGGGAGAGAAGAAAGCGGTCTGGGAAGAGAAGGTTGGCAATGGGGGAGGAAGAATAACAGTGCATGTTACAGAGGAGGGCTTCTGGGGGTGGGGAAGTGAAGCAGCAGGAAGACAGAGGGGGTGGAGATTAGTGAAAACAAGTTATGTCTGACTACAGCATAATGACACTCATTACTCCCTATGCTTAATTTCTAGTTATACTTTTCTTCATGCTTGAGAGAGAATTTCATGCATGTGTGCAATGAAATATGATCTTACACCCTCGTTTTCTTCTTCCAGATCTCACCACAGCCCCCAACATGCTCCTCTCCCAATGTCAGGTCTTCCCCCCCACAGCCCATTAAGTCCGAGAGGGGTGCTCGCTCATTCGTGAGCGGATGAGGGGCCGTCCACTGGAACATGGGGAACCCACAGTGGGAGCACCCCTCCCCAAAGAATGAAGGTCTCTCTGTCAGCTGTCAGTTGGCGACAGCTCCTCATTAAGTCGCAGGGTCTGGGGTGCACTTCCCCACTTATGCCAGGAGTTTGGCTGGCTTGACCTTGTTGTCTAGGTCTTCTGTGGGTTCATGAGTGTGATCGCCATGTCGTGTTCAGAAGACAGCATTCCACAGCACTGCTCCCCGTTTTCCAGCTCCCACAGTTTTCCTGCCTCTCTGGAACCTTCCCTGAGCCACGGTGGTGAGGCGGAGGTGTCGGTAAAGATGCCCCAGTTATTTGTGGTTGATACTCCAGCTCCTGTTCCAAGCACTTTGACCGATTAAGTGTCTGTGGACTGACTTCTGTCACAGAGAAAGAGGGTTTCCTCACCCAGGCTGAGAGCAGCCAGGGCTCTGTGTATAAAGAGAAATACTTAGAAGGCAGTTTGACAATGTGACCATCCTGAAACCAACTAAACAACTACTTTAGCTAAAACCTTTGGGACAGCTGGCTTTTCCCACTGTGCTGGTGGCTGGTCTTACCTCTCCGTAGGACCATGCCAGTCTTCTGCCAACTGGGACTTTCTTTGCCTTTCTCCCAATTCTGTGCAATGTACCGAGGACACGCGACTCTGTCTGGCTTCCCATTTCCCCGCCATGAGTGGGTAGTGGGTGTGGGTAGTGGAAGGTCTTGGTTCTACGTTTCTATGATCATGTGGTGGCAATCATGGCCTAGCTTTGAGGCTTCCCTAGGAACTCTGGTATTGGGAGTAGCACAGGGACAGATACGGCCTTGCGATGTGGCAGCGGATGCTGCTGGGCATTCCGTGTACTTCACCTGCCAGGGGCTCTGGGCCCACAGTTCTGGATCACCTACCGACCCCGCGTCTTCAGATTGTGACTGAGGACCCAGCCCTCCTCAGATATTAACTGTAGGGGCCTTCACACTAAAGTGTCCCAAATTCACAGCAACACGTCCTGTGTAATCAAAACAAAACCCCCCACCCTTGGATTCTTTCCTAAACCCCAAACCCATGTCTGCGAAGCCCTCCCTCCATCTGAGACCCTCAGTTCTCTATTTGGATGCTTCATATGCAGATACAACTCTGTCTTCAGTTCTGGAAATGTCCTAATCCACACTTACGCAACCCTGGCACATTTCCTTCTGTCCTGGAATCCACTGCATGAAAACCAGCCCAGAGGTGACCCCTCCTCCCTCCTTGCTGCCAGTGTCATAACCAAGGCACTTGCATGGCAGGGCAACCGTTGGGAGGAGAGACAAGATAATTATTAAACAGGAGCCAGAGCTGCCCTGCCAGCCTAGGGTATAAAGACACACCATGCCAGTGATTGCCATCCGCCTGTCCTGCCCACTGCCACCATGCTGGCCTCAGGGATGCTCCTGGTGGCTGTGCTGGCCTGTCTCAGCATCATGATCATAATGTCTGTGTGGAGGCAGAGGAGGCTGCTGAGGAAGATGCCTCCAGGGCCCACGCCCCTGCCCTTCCTTGGGAACTTTCTGGAACTGGACACAGAGAAGCTTTATGACTCCCTCTTAAAGGTGGTACTGGGCAGAGAGATGGGTGGGTCTGGGGTGTGGAGTATTCCTGGTGTGGCTTGGATTCTGAGGCAGAGGACCAACGAGGTCAGGATGCAGACTTGGGAATGGGAGGCTCAGGGTTGTGACAGCCAGATCTTGATGCATCTAAGTGCCAAACTCGGGACACTGGCAGCTCAAGGAATGGCATCTCTGCTGTTCTCATCATCCCCTCAGATCAAGGAGCAGTACGGGCCTGTGTTCACCATCCACCTGGGCCCTCGTCCTGTTGTGGTTCTGTGGGGGTATGATGCAGTGAAGGCGGCTCTGATGGACCAGGCCGAGGATTTCAGCGGCCGGGGAGAGCAAGCGTTCTTAGACTGGTTCTTCAAAGGCTATGGTGAGGAGGACAGCATGTGGGGGTTTGGGCCAGACAGATGTGTGGGGTGGGTTCCGCAGTTTTCCCTGACTCAGCCGCACAGTCAACGCCCTTTCTCTGCTCTTTGATCCACTTGTTCATGTGCTCTGTGGCCTTTTCTGGATTGTTTTCCAATTCCTATGTCCTTCTCTCCCTTCTGTGCTTCTCCACCTTCCTCCCTGGTCTGTCTTGATGAGTTGTCCTTCCCTGACCTTAGAAACTTCCAAAATTATTATTATTGTTGTTGTTATTATTGGATTTTTAAGTCAAGGTTTCTCTGTGTAACAGACCTGGCTATCCTGAACTGTCTTTGTGGACCAGGCTTCCCTTGAACACACAGAGATCTGCCTGCCTCTGCTTCCCGGGTGCGAGGATTAAAAAGGTCTGTGTCACTATGCCTGGCTAAACTTTTTTTATTGTTCAAATAAAAAAGGTTTGCTATATTTTTCTCATGCACACAAGTTCTCTCTTGTCTGTGAGCGTGAGCGTGTGTGCGCACACGCATGTGTGTGCGTGCAAACCAGTTATGATTTTTATTTTTTTAAATTTTTTATTTAATTTTATTTTATGTGCATTCGGGTTTTGCCTCCATTTGTCTGTGCGAGGGTGTTGGATCCCCTGGGACTGGAGTTATTCACAGGTGTGAGCTGCCATGTGGGTCCTGGGAACTGAACTCTGGTCTCCTGGAAGAGCAGCCAGAGCCTTAACCACCGAGCCATCTCCCCAGCCCCAGTGATGATCTTGTGTCTTGTGACCTACACCCCTTCCTTCTCTCGCTTTGGCTTTCTCCTTGTTTGTCTACATTGCTGTCTATCCTGCCACAACCTCTCCTTTAATCATTTGTAATATTTATTTTTATTTTAGTTTTGTTTTTTTGTATGTTTTTTTTATTCGTGCATGATGTCTGTGCACCATGTGCCTTCTTGGTGTCCTCGGAGGCCAGAAGAGGGCATCTGATTCCCTGGGACTTATAAACTGCTATGCGCTAACACAGGGATTCTCGGAATCCAGCCCTTGTCATCTAGATGGAAGCAGAGCCTCTGCTCAGAGCTGCTGAACCGTCTCTCCGCCCCTCTTCTTCTTTTTGTTGTCTCCCAGTATTTCATGTCTCTGACGCTCAGTCTGAATTTGGATCTTTCTCAAGTTCCCCAGCCCCTGGTGTTCTTGCTCTTCCCTTTACCCACCTCTCCCCCTCCTGCCCTGTGCGCAGTCCCACACTTTCTAGGCTGCGGTCAGAGGTGCTCTGTTGTCCAGATGTCACTGTAACCGCTTCCTGTGTTTGTGCTCGGCTCCCCAGGCGTGGTGTTCAGCAATGGGGAGCGGGCCAAGCAGCTCAGGCGCTTCTCCATCGCCACACTGCGGGACTTCGGCTTTGGCAAGCGTGGCATCGAGGAGCGCATCATAGAAGAGACAGGCTTTCTCATACAGGCCTTTCGGGACACAAACGGTGAGGGCGGGGTCACGGAGTCCATGGGAAGGATAAGAGAGACAACAGATTCTGGGGAGTTTTGTGTTAAGACAGGCAGTGGGGACTTTAGGAAAGGCTCGGGAGTCTCTGGTGCTCAGGCTGCCCATCCGGAAATCCAGCTGAGTCCTGCTTCCCGGATCCTCTACTCTTTCAACCCCGGCCCTCCACCCAGGTGCTTGCATAGACCCCACCTTCTTCATGAGCCGAACAGTCTCCAATGTCATTTGCTCCCTCGTGTTTGGAGACCGCTTTGAGTACGACAACAAGGAATTCCTGTCACTGTTGGGCATGATGATGCGGAGCTTCCAGTTCACAGCCACTTCAGCTGGACAGGTAACCAGTTCAAGCCCCAGCCCGGTCCCGCCCAAATGCTCCCACCGTGTCCTGGCACAGCCACCAATGCCTCCATCTGCCATGTTTCTCTGGATGCGATCTCCTCAAATAGGACAACTAAACAAAGAGCTCAAACCCTAAGGAAGGGGCCAATACAGAATCCCCATGGCAACTGACTACCTCAACAGATGCCAAGCCAATCAGTGTGCTGCTAGGTGCGGCCCTCTACCCAGCCTCCATCCTGGGCAGCTGACTGCTCTCAACTTACCTTAATCTCTGACAGTTGCTACTCGGCCCCCTTGGATGACTCCACACACAGAACAGTGGCTGCGTCAGGTCCCCCGTACACACAGGGACATTTGTGCCCACAAAGTCCAACCCACTGCAACTGTCTGTCCTCCATACACATCCTAGACCGGCCCACTGACGTACCCAGACAGGGGCTGGGGAGACTCTTCTGTGCTCAAGGGCAAGGACTGCTCCTGCAGAGGACCAAGTGAACAAAAAATAAATAAATAAAAGGGGAACATGGCTGGTCCTAGGTATGGTGGAAGAGAAAGTTCATTGTAGAGAGCATAGCCAGAGTCAGGGTCATCTGAGAGAGTACAGAGTGGACCCTGAGCCATGGGGGGTGGGGGAAGCAGGAAGAGAAAAGAGAGGGGAGCAAAGAGGAATGAGGCCAGAAGCAGCCAGGAGGCCAAAAGGTATTAACAGAGGGGGTAACCAAAATGGATGGCTTATATAGGGAAGGGCAGCTAGGGGAAGGGCAGCCCAGCACTTGGGGTGAAGTTTAGGGGAGGGGGTGCAGAATGCCAGCCAGGAGAATTCTGTAACAGGCAGGGACTGAGGGATGCAGGGATGCCCAGGTCTGATCTAAGGTGTTAAATGGGAATCTCAGTCAGCCTAGTCCCAGTTTGAAAACTAACACCAAGTTTAAGTGGCTCACAACTGCCTGTGACTCTAGCTCTAAGGGGACCCAACACCTTTGGCTCCTGTGGTTGTGCGTGCACACACAGAAACACACGCACACACACAGACAGAGACAGAGAGATTTATGCACATAATTAAAGATAAAATAAGTATCAAAAATGCTTTTAGAAATATCCATACATGTTTTCCTATTCAATCCACATAAATGAGTGAAAACCTGAACACACATCCCAGCTGAGACCACGAACACCTCGATGATCGTCTACCCCGATTCCCCCCAGAAGTGTCCTCCAACCAGGGCCACTCAGCGAACCTTAGAGTACTCTAGGCATTGCACTTGAACACCCAAACACTTGCACCCAAGTTTTCTCTACTGTGATGCTGGACAACAGCCTCACTTAATGCCTACACGCATGCACACAACCCACAACCCTAACCCAGTCATCTGGAAAGCTGTGCCAGCCTGGCCTTTCTGAGTGTCTAGCTACCTGTGGGATTATCCCAACAGACACACTCAACAATGGCTCACCAAGTCGGCCTCCCGCCTAACCTCATTTGAATACGTACATACTTAGATTTCTGCCTTTATCAGTCCTTACCCTAATATCCGATGCTTTGGGCATGTCCCAGCCCATCTTACCCAAATTCATGGGTAACATTCCTCACAACCCCCCTGTGGAAATGTAATTGTGCTCCCTTCAACCAGCAACTAAATACCTGGGAACCAGGCCAAGGCTTTGAAGCTTTCTATGCTCTTTCTCAGGACCTCTTCCCTTTGGGTCCTGACACTGACAGCTGTCCCCCCACCATTTCCTCTCCCCTTCCCCAGCTCTTTGAGATGTTTTCTTCCGTGATGAAGCACCTGCCAGGATCACAGCATCAGGCCTTCAAGGAGATTCAGGGGCTGGAGGACTTCGTAGCCAGGAAGGTGGAGCAGAACCAGTGCACCCTGGATCCCAATTCCCCCCGGGACTTCATCGACTCCTTCCTCATCCGAATGCAGGAGGTGCGCCCAGTTGATATGGTGGATGGTTAAAATGTGGGGCTGGGGAAAGGGGCAGGAGCAGAAGGTCATGTCTGTCAGCCCCCGGTCCCCTCACCCTCCCATCACTATTATCGCCACTGTCCCATCTACGGAGCCCTCCTGAGGAGGAGTGTGTGTGCAAGCATGCACACCGACCACTCACCAGGTGCAGGCATCGCTTTGCAGTGTTTGACAGCATTCACTCACGTAGAACCAGTGCTGGCTTGGGAGCACATTCCATTTTGACCCGAGGTCTAGAATTAGGAAACTGCAACCCAGAGAGGACAGGCTGCTTGTCTGCCATTGGTTGAAGAACACTTGCTGCACAGGTGTGGGGAAACGACTTTGAACCCCCAGAAGCCATGCGAAAAGCCACGCATGGCCATGGCTGCCAGTGAGCTCAGCACTGGAGGGCAGAGACACTCGGATCCTAGGAGCTCTCTGGACAGCCAGGTAGTTCAAGGCCAGACTGTCTCAAAGGAGTAAGGTGAAGACTGAAAAAGATGCCCAGTGCTCTCCTCCAGCTGCCTCAGTTCGCTCACAAGTGTGGGCATCAGTGTGCACACATGTACCCACAAGTAATCAGCACACACTTGTGTGTGCGCACACACACACACACACACACACACACACACACACACACACGGGAGGAATTTCCTCCAGGGGTACCTTCAAATTGGGATGGAATAAGATGCTATCAGTACAAATTCTGATTCTTCATTTCACAGAATCTGCTTCAAACTTTCTTCATCTGTCTCTCTCTCTCTCCCTGTTCTTACTCCTCCTTCTCTCTCCTTTTTAAAAGCATTACTACTATTTAATCAAATAGGATTTTTTCAGGAAAAGGATAGAGATTCACCCAGGGAAAAACAAAGGAAGAAGTTGTTTTGGAAAAGCCAGCATCCTAGTTTGTCAAGGTCTCTCTTTCCATCTTAAATCTGAACCTAAGATTAGTGAATCCAGGGAAAACCCCGAAAGAGTGATGAATGGACTCAGCACAAATGCTTCTCTCCCTGTAGGAGAAGCAGAACCCCAAAACTCAGTTTCACATGAGGAATCTGTTGATGACCACATTGAACCTTTTCTTCGCGGGTACTGAGACGGTCAGCACAACCATGCGCTTCGGCTTCCTGCTGCTCATGAAGAACCCTGACATTGCAGGTAAGGCTACAGGGGTCAGGGAAGTGGAGGCCACGGACCCCCCACCAACGTGCTGGAAATTGGTTACCCTAACCCCTACTCTCTCAGCTCTCTGGGTCCTCAGATAGTCTCTGATGGGCAGAGAAAAGCACCTGTGCTGACAGGCTTCTCCAGATTTTAACATCTTCTTCAAGGAGCTCTGAGGAAGCACAACAAATGGCAAAGCTGAGGGGAGACTGAGGGGCAAGTGAGGAGCAGCTCTGCTGCAGAGGAGCAGTGGGCTGAGCAAGAGTCCCTGAGGGGCCCGGCTGTTGCCTAAGGGTTCTTTTGTGGGTAGGAGGAGGAAGAGTCGGTTGCTAGGGGCAAGGTGTGGGTGGTTTTGCAGTTTGATTGACAAGCTTGAGGTACACCTGTGTTAACTGGGCGTGTCATTTCCCGTTTGCATGTAGTCTCAGTTATGGGCTCGTCCCAATCCCATGCAGCCATAAGATGGCCAACCGGCTGTTTCCCCCAAAGTTCACTCACAGATAACAATTTGCCTTCCTCAGCATGCACCTAAAACCTGTTCAGGCTGGGTTGGTCCACTGGCCCTAGTTCTGGGATATGTTCAACAATGTTGAACATATGTTGCTATGGTGATGTTCCAGGATGTTGGGATGGATGTGACTGGTTGCCATGTTTAGAGAAGGGTTTTTCTGGAGCTGAACGTTGATGGGAGTCCTAGGGTGCTAATGTATCCCTGCAAAATGCCCTTCTCAATTTGAGTCTCACTAGCAGTGAGAACAGTGGGAAGGCCTGAGCTGGTTTGTAAAGTGCTCTTCTCAACCATACAAGGTCCCTGGCCTGTCTCGGACCATTCTGTAAGTCTCTTTTACAAAGTGATTCTGGCCCAAGGTGAAGAGGACCCTGTTCCAGCACCACATATGGCCACCATCTACTGGGAATGGTCTCAACATGGCACCTGTAATTCCACACCACCATGTTTTTTGCATATTTAATCTATCTTTCCTTTCTAGACTCTAAACATATATTTCTTTTCTCAGCCAAGATGCATGAAGAGATTGACCGGGTGGTTGGCCGGAACCGGCCCCCCAAGTACGACGACCGGATGGAGATGCCCTACACTGAGGCTGTGGTCCATGAGATACAGAGATTTGCAGACATACTACCTTTTGGATTTGCTCATAGTACCTATAAGGACATCATGTTTCAAGACTTCCTCATCCCCAAGGTGCTGTCCTGCCTAGACTGAAAGAGCCTTCAGTTCACTCCTCATGTCCCAGCAATCTATCCCCACTCAGAGTTTTCTATACCACCCTTCCTTCTCAGTCAAACACTTGCTCGCTCAGAGCTGTCCTTCCCCAAGTCTCCTGAATCCTGGCTCTCCCTATTTTCCAGGGATCAACCTCATGTTTAGCAAACTCCTATTGTAAGGACCAAGAATCCATTTTGCTAGAACTTGTTACTTATGTTGAAGAGTCTCATGGTGCCACAGACCAGCGCTGTAGGGTGCCCCGTGTCCGCGGGAAAATCAGAGAATTCAGATATCAGGTTAGGCACAGATAGGCGAGATGACGGAGACCACACCACGTAAGGTTGATTTGGATCTTCTGCGCTTTACTGAAGTTTAAGCCAACACTTTTATAGTAATCTTACAAAGAAGCACCTTAAAGTTGACATATCCCCCCAGAACATTTACAAAGTTTATATTTTAACTGAAAGAGTATCCTGGTAGAAGCAGTGTCTACAAAAATGTTGGCCTAACAGCCTCTTAAGCAGAGCAAATCTAGAACTAGTGACATGTTTGCCAATTTAGCGAGTAGAGAGCCAAGGGCTTGTTAAACTTGTGGTGTGTTTACGTAGTTTATTGTTAGTTAATTAGGGGTTGTTAATAATCCTCCGAACTAGGTCAGCTAAAGATTTACAACCCCCCTGGAGGTAAGCACTGCGGGGAATTCCTCCTGTTTGGCTTCCTAAGGATTTACAATCTTTTCTTAGAGATAAGATACTTGAGCTAGCCTGTCTGTAAAACTCATAGTATAATACAAAACTTTTTGACCTCCTATGTTTGCCTATCTTCTTTCTGCCTCATCATAAATACCCGTGTTAGGTAATGGTTTTGTAGTAGCTTTACTGGAGTGGGAATATCCAGAGCATTTATCCTAACAGATCCTGATTAAACATTTTCTTTAGAAAGCCCTAAAACTCTTGTCCTTTTACTATCTACAATGTTTTATATTTTCCACAAGCAATTCCTGATGCTGAATCTTATTTATTACCTCTCCTAAAATTTTATTTTCCTTCTACTCTTATTTGCTAAAGCTTTTAGTGATCTATTAGAAATGTTTCCTTGAATAGTTAATTGTACTGTTTCAAGAATCATAGAGAAACAGAAAAAAAGGAGCTCATCAATTCAAGTCTTGCATCTGAGAAAGCAGGATTATACCAGCACGTCATATTTCAATAGGGTATTTTTGCCAGGGACTTCCAGGGAGCCAATTGCCGCAGGAAACGTATCTCCTCGTCTGTTTGAATAATTTTATGTTTGCATAACACATTTTTATGTTACATAGACGGTTTCTGGAGTTAGTGTAGCATCATGGCCTCCAAACAGTCATCGGAGGCACACAAAACCCAAACCCTCTGTCTCAGGGAGTGTGAACTTTCTGGTCCCACAACCTCCAGAACTGAGAGGCACGAGCTTGCTCCTTCCCTAACATTCTGCTTCACGAGGCACAAACTGTGTGTCTCTCAAGTGACCTTTCTCAGAAAACAGGAACTACAACTTCTCCAAAAGAACTGTCCCCAGTATGTTAACCTCACATTCCCTGACACCTCTCCCTCAGCAAACTCCATCTTCTGCTTCTCCTCTTCCAATCTTGTGAGCTCTGAGGATGCTCATCTCTCATGCTGTCTTCTCAGTCCCCCTGCTCCTCTCTTTCAGGGCACTGATGTGTGGCCTGTACTGAGCTCTGTGATGAAAGACCCCAAGTTCTTCTCCAAACCCAACGACTTTAACCCTCAGCACTTCTTGGATGACAAGGGGCGGTTTAAGAAGAGCGATGCATTTATGCCCTTTTCCATTGGTAAGATGCCCCTGCTCCCAGTCACAGGGGTAATGCTTTCTGGTTCCCCTCTCAGAAGAGTAGACTTGTAACTATCTCCCCCTTGGACCTTACTGTTGTAGTCTACCTTCCAGCCAACCAAGTGGACTTGGGCTAGAGGAGAGGCATATTCAAACCGTTTTCAGAGATGGGAAGAATCAAGGGCAATCTGAGTCTGAGTTCTTCCCCAGGTCACACAGATAGGTCTTTACACTCCTTTAGAGGTGAGAGCAGAGCAGAGCAGAGCACATTTGGGGGTCTGTTTCTTGGAGGAGTATGCAGATTTCCTGTGGTACCAGCCTGTCATGGGTCACCTCTTCTCACATACACAGGGAACAGAGACTCAGAGAGGTCACTCAGAGGTCACTCAGACTGCAGCGCTGCAAGCACTTCTCCCTTGGGGGGTCCAGCTGTGGGCCTGGCATAGGGCGAGGCAGCAGGGAAATTCATTTCACTTCCATCCTCTACTCCCCTCCCGTCCTCTCCAGGAAAGCGGTACTGTTTTGGAGAAAAACTGGCTAAGATGGAGCTCTTCATCTTCTTCACAACCATCATGCAGAACTTCAGCTTCAAGTCCCCACAGGCGCCCCAAGACATAGATGTGTCCCCACAATATGTCGGCTTTGCCACAATCCCACGCAAATTCACCATGAGTTTTCTGCCTCGCTGAGCCAGGACTCTGTGGGGTGGAGGGAGTGAGCATGCCCAGAAAGAGGTCAGGGCTAATAGAGTTGGGAATAAAGGACAACATGAAAAGTAGATGAAAGTCTGGGGCCACCTTCCTGAAGACAGGTTCCTCAAAGGTGGGATGAGAGGCTGGGAAATCTGTCCCAAGTATCTGATAGTCATAATTAAATTTACTGTTGATTGTGCAAGAATTCTGCATGGATTTCATTGGAAAAGCAACACACCATCTCCTCTCTTAGTCCTCAGAAACCTACATGGGAAGAGAAATTGTATTCATGTATATTTTACAAAGTGACAAGATTGAGGTTCGGAATGTTCAAGTCATTGGTCTGCCTTGAGATCGTTCCTGTAATTCCATCACTTTGGGCATCTGATGCAGGGTGATTGTCACGAGTGTAAGGCTAGTCTGGGCTATATAGTGAGTTATGGTTAGTTAGTGCTACACTGTGAGAGTTTGACTCAAGTAAAAAAAACTTTTAGGAAGGATAGTTGACTAGAAGTATTTTTGTGTGGTCAGTTGAAGAAAACTGTTGACTCCATTCGAAATGGAAGGCCACAAGGCATGACAGATCAGCTGAGATCACAGAAGAACTGAAGGGTGATGCACTAGACCCAGAAAGTTCAGCTGAAAACAGTGCCAGCTGTATGATTCCCCAGCAGGAGGAGGGAAGGCAGAGGCCTCATTCAATTGCAGCCCAGATACACAGGAAACATGAAAAGTTCCACCTGAATTCAAGGATACTGAAGTGGGTGAGAGGTCAGATGAGGATATCAAAAGTTTACCAGAAAAATGATTAATGACCTTAAAAAGGATATGATTGACAAGTGGAGGAAAGAAATCAACGTGATACTCGTTGAGGAAAGACAGCAACCTAGAAGAAAAGACAATAAAGAATGACCAAGGAAATGGTGATGTCGCTGGAAAAGCCAGCAAGGTGAAAGAGAAATTCATTAAGAAAGTTGCAAAGCAAGCAACATAATAAAGATGTTGAGGATTAAAAAAAACAAACCAAAAAACAGTAACATAAAAGCACAACAACAACAACAACAACAAAAACCAGACTCCTCCCCCCCCAAACCCACAGTGCAAATAATCAGTAATGTACTGGACTAATCAGAAAGAAGAGTATCAGGGATGGAGGGCAAGGTTGATAAAATAATATATTTGGGGCTGGAGAAAGATGGTTTAGTGTTTAAGAGCAGCTCTTGCAGAGGACCTGGCTGGATTCCCAGTGCCCCCATGGTGGCTCACAAATACCTGTAACTTCGGTTCCAGGGCATCCAGTTTTCTTTCCTAGCTTCATCAGGCACTGGGCATGCATGCATTGCCCTCACACACATGCCAACAAAACACTAATACACATAAAAATAAGAATATAAAAATTCTGTATTTAAATATCAGTAAAGAATGAGCATGGCCTACACTTGTCATAACTTTAAGATATTTAATACTCAGCATACTAAACCTGAGTGTTCAAGGATACAGAAAGAAGTTGAGATAAAGTTAAAAGTATAGAAATTCTATCAATAAAAAATACAAATAAATTCCCCGATGTTTCAAAAAATCAGAAACATTTGCAATTCCAACAGACATGACTGGAGAAGAAACTGTCTACAACATACTATGGTTAAGATGTCTAAAGTACAAAACAACAACAAAAAACAGTATTAAAAATTGTAAGGATGAAACTCCAGTTGACCTACAAAGGTGAATACATCAGAATATAATAACTCCAGCTCTCTCATCAACAGCCTTAAAATCCAGGAGGCATGAAATGAAAGCAAATAACTGCCCAATAGGATTTTTATACCCATCAATACTGTCATTTAAGATTAAGGAGAACTAAAGACACATGAAAACAAATGTCAGGTCAGCATTACAGAAGATGTTTAAAGGGATATCTCACAGGGATAAGGATGAACAAAGCAAGCCAGTATGTTCAACATGGTACCGATAAGGAAGTGAAACTAACAAAATCACAAAAATCAGCAAATGCCTCTCAATAATAATCTTAAATATAAGTAACCTCCCATTTCTTTCTGTCACCCTCAACATATCCATCAACTTGAATGAAGAAAAATTATAATAATTAGAAAAGAAAGAAAGAAAGAAAGAAAGAAAGAAAGAAAGAAAGAAAGAAAAAGAAGGCGCATTGGCAGAGGAGGTATTGCAGTGGAATTTGAAGCAAAATGGTCTCAAATCACCAACAAAAAGATAATGTTTATCTGATGGGATTAAAAGGAACATACAACATACCTACATTTGCTTCCGAATAGCCAAGATATGAGGTCAGCCACCAGCAGATGAATGTATAAAGAAAATGGGGTAAACACACACCACAGAATATTATTTAAGAATAAACAAAAAATAAAATTATGACATTCACAGGATATGAACAGAACTGAGATCATTATGTTAAAGAAAGTAACGCAAAATCAAGTTTTCTGTTATTGTTATGTGTTCAATCTGGATTTAAGTGTGTGTGTGTGTGTCTGGGAAAGGGACTATGGGAGAGGAGAAAGATCCAAAGGAAGTAGGGAGTTTGAGAAAGAAGCAGTAGATTTCGTGTGACTTGAGAGTAGGAGGGAGAACAGTCTGGCATATGTATGTGTGTGAAGGTCATGAAGCTAGGAGAGGGGGAGCCATGACAGAGGAGGGAGACAGCAGAAGGCGCTCCATCTAGCCCATCAGTGAAAGTTCATGAGATGCACACTAGCATACCACTCTCCTACACAGCTCATGTCCTTTGCTCATGTCCTTTGACAGCCCTAGCTGTCGGACCTCAGGGGGATCTGAAGGCCTCCTCTATTCCCTGAGCTACACAGACTAATCTGGGGCTTTGTAGGGTTGAGTGATTCATGAGTGTGTTGGCTGGTTTTCTTGACAACTTGACCCAAGCTCGAGGCACTAGAGAGGAGAGAGCCTCAACTGAGAAAACTGAGAAAATGCCTCCATAAGATCAGTCTGTAGGCAGGCCTGTGGAGCATTTTCTTAATTTGCAACTGATGGGGGAGGGCCCAGCCCATGGTGGGTGGGGCCATCGCTGGGCTGGTGGTCCTGGGGTCTATAAGAAAGCAGGCTGAGCAGCCATGGGGAGCGAGTCAGTGAGCAGCACCCCACCATTGTCTCTGTATCAGCTCCTGCCTCCAGGCTCCTGCTCTGTTTGAGTTCCTGCCCTGTCTTCCTTTGATGGTGAACTGTGGTGTGGAAGTGTGAGCCAAATAAACCCTTTCTTCCTCAAGTTGCTTTGGTCATAGTGTTTCTTATAGTAATAGTTCCCCTAACTAAGACAATGAGGACTAGCTGTTACTGGCCTAGTCTGAAGACCTCAGTGTAGGAGCTGTTTGGAAATAGGATATAGTTAAAAAGAGAGCAGTCTGGAGTAGGATGTGTGTTCTTATGAGAAAGTGCACTTGAGGGGGCTAATGAGCTGGCTCAGTGGATACAGCATTTGCTCTGTAAGCAGGAGGACCCAGGGTCATATCTCCAGCACCCACATCAAAGTCAGGTTGGCCCAGTGGTGGAGACAGAGGATCCCCTGGGCAGTATGGCCAGCTAGACTGTGAGCTTTGGGGTCAGCAGGAGATACTGCCTCACTAAGCAAAGTGGAGAGTGACCAAGGAAGACATCCGGTGTCAACCTCTGGCTTCCACACACATGAACACGCATGTGCAGAAGTGCCCACATTTAACACATGAACACATGTATGCACATATAAGACAACAATAGAGTGCACATATGAAGACACACAAATACTGAGAATGTCATGTCATCATAAGGCAGAAGAAGCTGGGGTGATGGCCAGCTACTGTGGATATCACAGTCATTAAAAGTGCGGAAGAGGAGAGGCAAGGAAGGGTTCCCACATGTGTTCCAGATGTTAGGGTTCTGCTGAGCCTTGATTATGAACTTCCAGCTTCCAGAACTAAGTCAAGTGTCCTCTGCTCCGCCCACTCTAGGGAAGGACTACATGGGAAGAAGGCAGTGGCTGGTACACACAAGATATTCCACCTACTCTTGCCTGGGCTTAGTCTGGAAAGAACGAGTGTGTGTGTGTGTGTGTGTGTGTGTGTGTGTGTGTGTGTGTGTATCTGTGGTATGTGTAGGTATGTGTGCATGTGTATGTATGTGTACATATGTGTATTTGTAGTATGTATGTATATGTATATTTGTGTATGTGTTTATGACTTATGTGTGTATGCACACATGTGCATGTGGATCTGTATGTTTGTATGTATGTATGTGTGTGTGTGTGTGTGTGTGCACTCACACGTGATCTTGTTTTAGGGAGCGCTGACTTGGAAGATGAGGCTGGTGAGTATGTAATTCCCTGAAGCATCGCCTGTACCCCTCCTCCCCACTGAGGTGAGGTCACCTCGTTCTCGAGCATTCCTGCACCATGTTATGATCCAGTGTCACTTTCCTCCCGCAGGGAAGAACGGAAATGAGGAGTGGGGTAGCAAAGAGGCTCAGGGAGGCCCCAGACATGGCAGCAAGCTGGTGCAGCACTGCGGTGCTCCCGTCAGAGCTGAGTCTCCTGTCTGGACAAGGTTGGACTAGGTACTGGGGCTTGTGATGTTATCTCTCATCAGCTCTGGGGGCATCTTAATAGAGTTACCTGTCTCTAAGGGACTTATCATGGTGATAGTCATCGGTCATGTTGAAGCAGGTCTCACTGTGCGGAGCAGGCTGGCCTGGAACTCACAGATCTCCACTTGCCTTTGCCCCCTAAGCGCTGGTCTTACAGGCCTGCACCACCACGTTGCTTGTATTGTATAATTTGTGTGTGCAGATGTGCCTGGGAGGGGTACGTGCAAGTGACTGTGTGCAGGAGCTTAAGGACATCAGAGGACTCTGGTCCTCAGAGCTGGAGTCGCATGCGGTTATGGGCTGCCCACCGTAGGTGCTGGCAACTGAACGGGTTAAGATCAACCACGCTCTTAACCTGTGTGCTAGCTCGTGAGTCCCACGTTCCCCATTTCTACAGGAAGTTTTGAGGAACTGATTTTTTTTTTTTGCCCTCTTCCTCTCCATCTTAGAAGATAAAGGCTCCACCCCACCCCAAGCCAATCCTGGCCTCAGGCCTCTCCAGTTTCTCCTTTGGCCATTGAGTGTACAGTGTTCTGGTACTCTTGGAAATGGAGGTCCCCCCCCTGTGGTCTTTAAGACTACGCTGGCCGTCTTCACCCG